TATTTTCAAGTGTAATCCGATAATGGGTGTGTATATATATACACACAAGTCATAATTCTCTTCTGTATGCTCAATGTCTTAATCATTAGTTAGATTAGTAGCAACATAGAAATGTAAGACATAAATACCTAATGGATAGTGACGAAGCCAAAAAATTTTCTAAGGTTATTCAAATTTGAAAGAAATACAAAAAATCCCTGACAAAGGGTATTCAGTATATGTTATATACCTCTAAAACCTAATATTTTATCTATATATGCAGTGTAATTTTCCGAAGAAGGGTGATCAAATGACAATCCTAACTAGAGTCTAGCTTCGTTCTTGCTAGTTCGCAACAAATTTTTATAGTACGAAAAATAAACTGCAACAAAAATAATATAAAAAAGAGAGAGATTTTATTGATAAATATTTGTAAGTACAATTCTATTCATCCCTTGATTCTCCTCTATGAAATTCTCCGTGATTCGAGGGCTTGAGAAGCGTCTTTCTCGAATGTAGAATAATGTAGACCTTCTTGCGATGTATTTAATCGCCAAGAACGTTAAGTAACACTTTGTTGTTTCGGGTTGATCTCTGGAAAAAACTTTGTTGATCACTCCTTTGTTGAAGAACTATGCATTTGATGATTGATCTCTCTGTTTATGGATGCCTTCACCAATTGCGGCGTGTTCTTCTCCAACTCTGAATGTCCCTTGAGAGTTATGTAACCCCTCTATTTATAGTTGTAGCGGATGGACAATCAAGTTACATAAAAACTCTCTTGCTTGATTCTGATAGGCCCATGTCATTTTAGCCACTTGGCGACTTGTGGTTGGTTCTTGCTTTTTGACTTGGATTGCCATATCATTTAACACATGGCATCACCTTATTAGCCTGGAGTTTGAGTGGATATGTCATGTCACTTGACACATGGTATAGTCTGGGCCTTAAGATGAAATGGACCTTGGGCTTAAAAATATTAAAATGGACTTATTTAATTTGTAAAGTCCAAATTAATTATCCGATCCAAAGTAATTTAGTATTTAATCCAGATTTTGTACGGACTAAATAATTTTTTACATGTCTACAGATACCCCCTACTTCAAGCCTTGTCTCAATATAGACTTGTCGAGCCATAAAGACGAGACTTGAAGTACCAATGAAGACAATATAGTTGTCATGAATCCCCGATAAACTTGAAGTCCTTTGCGCGTGCCTTGCAAAATTAACTCCAAGTCTGCACTTGAGATGGTTCAGAGCTCTCAAAGTAATTTCAATTTTAATTGAACCACTTTGTCAAGTAGATACCATTCCCTCATAACATAACGTTATCAATTTTTGAGCATGTCTTCGACTTCAACTACATATGAAGGAAGGTTAGGTTCCATGTCCTTAGTGAATTAGGAGTGTCCGAAGAATGATATATATTGGCATGAAATTAGTCTTTCTTTATTTGAACCCCATATATAATATGGCACTAATTCCAATTCAAGAGCATCTCAGGAACTAGTAATATTTTTTCCATATTTGACTTCCTCGACTATTACTTTGAAGGAAAATTCTTGTATACTAAGAAAAGCTCCATCGCCTTCGAACATCTATATAAACAACACTTTGCTAAAAGTTATTCCATGTGATTTACTGCCGAGCCGCTCTCAAGTTTGAGGAGTTCATATACACGGGCATCGACTTTATCTCCTGAGAAAATTCCATAGGATAAGGGCAAACAAACCTAAAAACGATTACGATGCCGAGCTGCTCTCAAGTTTGAATGTTGGGCAGCGCTGTTGAATTGGATTCGCTTATGGTTACTTCAAGGCTTTAATTTTTTTTCATTTTTCCCTTCACTTCTTCCTTCTAATTCTTTTTATTAATCTTTGAGTTTTTTTTATTGCAGTATCAATCCGTCAACTTCGCATGCCTACAAAGCAATATCGATCAGTCAACTTTAATTTGCGCGTGGCTGGTGAAACTTCTGATTTCGGATACTCAATGACCTAACTCATGGTCGAGGCTTAGAGATTAATTAGGCTCCCAAATTTTAATTTCCCTTTCCATGCCGATTTGGAAAATCACGTTGTCAGTCTCGATGTCCATCATACCGAATCGAAGCATTGTGCTACTGGAATCATATCAGTAGAAGCAGAAATGTCGTGCTATGGCACCGATATCCATTAATCGAGATGATCATCATGATACTCGCACCGTATCTGCAAAAACTTTATCTTATTGGCACCGAGGGCTCCAAAATCATTTCTTATTTTTGCAGGTTTTAAAGAGAGTACAACAGTAACTTGGTACATCCCTTCTTGCAGCTTGAAGGGAGGCATTTAGAATATTCCTAAGCGATCTTGATCGACGATCCATATCCACATTGCAACATGGGAGCGAGAACATGGTGCATCTCAGCCTTGCAACTTGGCAAGAAAGAGGCTTGGAGCTCGAGCGACCATATTTCATCCTTGGCAGGCGAGTGCTTGGCGAACCTTTGCAAAATTATTAATTCCTTGATGTAGGAGCAATGAAATCTGAAGCTTCTTACTTTTAAAGAATCAAAATTTGAAAAGTTACATCCTTTAAAGAACTCACGAATAAATTCCTTGAGGATTAGTCGGAGTCGACTTTTGAAGCTGGTATACATATCTAACATTTTGACTTTACTGCACTCTATGTTGTCATCAAAACGTATATATCTCAAGCTAGGAATGTCCAAATCGTGAGCCGTCTACGCCATTGGAAAGAAGACTCAGAGATAATGAAATCCTCAAGATATCATATAAGAATTCCTAGCAGATTGTCCACAGCAACTTTCTGAACTTGACCCATCTGTCCGCGAAATTGCTTTTCAGCTTTGCGCGCTTTGGTGGAAAATTCATATCTCGAGCTACAGTGTCGGAATTACAATCTGTTTGCACCATTAGAAAGAAAACTCAGAGACTTGAAGTACCTACAAATTTCATGGCAGAACTCCTTTCGGGCTATCAACAGAAAATTCGCGACATCGACTTAACTGCAGTGAACTTTCAGATTTGTGTACCTTTAGCGAAAATAATTGTATCTTGAGCTAAGGGTATTGGAATTACAATCCGTTTGTGGTGTCAAAAAGTTGACTCGGAGATGTAATATTCATATAAATTTCATAACAGAACTCCTTTCGTACTGTCAACAAAAAATTCGTGAAGTCGACTCAACTGCAGTGAACTTTCAGATTTGTGTACTTTTGGCGAAAATAATTGTATCTTGATCTAGGAGTATCGAAATTATAATCCGTTTGTGCTGTTGGAAAGAAAACTTCTAGAGCTGCAACATAAAAATTTCATCCCGGAACTCCTCTCGGGCTAGAAACAAAAAAGTATTGAAAGTCGAACTGACCGCAGGGGACTTTCAGGTGTGCGTGCTTTTGGCCAGAAAAACTGTATCTTGAACTAGGAGCGTCGAAATCACCAACAGTTTGATCCTATGAAATTCCGACATCGAGAACTCTAATATTGTTAAAGATGAAGCTCCATTCATTCTTAGTTAGCCTAACAAATATTTTTGAAGTTGATTCTACAGCCTTGTAATGGATTTGGCTATCATCACGAATCTTATCTCTTTGTTTATTTCTTTTGCAGACTTGCGAAGGAGATCAAAATGTCTTAGTGTCAAACTAAGAAGGTACACAATATTTAGATATTTTGATGTTTCGAGCAACCAGCAACAAGCAAAACCGCCCTGCAAAAGACGAACTTGTTGCAGAGAGACTATCATGTGAAAGTACTCATTTCCCAAAAGTCGTGTATACTCTATGTTTTTTGATATTCATGAAGCTTTCCCAAGGTGATCACTAATTATAGAATTTTTGGGAGCTAGGTGCATGCTCATGTATGGGAACTTCAAACAGAAGAAGTAGGCCATTGTGCCCACGACTCAACAACAAGATGCGTAGTTAAGTGATTATGGAAGCTGTTAAATATCATGGGCACGCCATCAAGGATGATCCATCATATGGAGAAGTCACGAACGAGTTGGCGACCATGTTTATCTTTCGATCATTTACATGACTTTAGATTCCTTGTATAGGATGATATCTCATTCTGCTTTTAACATTGATGTACATAACTCTTTCTATATTGAAGCAATAAAATATCTTTTATGCTTTGGCACCAAATTGTCTTCTTTTCCTCAATTTCATATGTCTTTAAATTCAATAGACTTAATATGATGATCTTATGATGCCAAACCCTTGTTTTTTTTCTTTTTAAACTCATGCGACTGAACTTAGAATGAAACTCTATACTGCCTACGTACCTCGATGAAGAGGATCAAGTCATAACGTAGTTTAGAAGGATGAGATCTTTTTTTTGGTCTTGACTTTTGCTTAGGCCGCCTCTTTCGAGGTTTTCAACCTAGCAGACTCTTTTTTTTTGTCGTACACACTTTAGACTCATGCGGGCCAGGAGTGTAGAAACATGCAGTTTAGGCTCATGCATCAAGGAGCGTCATGACTTGTAATTTAGGATCGCACGTCGAGGAGCGTCGGTGACTTTCATGGGAAGTACTGCTTCAGAAATTTTCCGTTGATCGGACCAACTTTGAGACCATCCTTATCGACAATTTTGTATGCGCCACTTGAATAGGCTTCCTTCACAACATATGGCCCATCCCATTTTGAGGTAAACTTGTCGCCTATGCGTTTGTTGAGGATTATGGGTCATCAAATAGCTAGGACTAAGTCTCCCACTTGGAATGATCGTGGCCACACTTTCTTGTTAAAGTATCTAGCTAGTCGAGCTTGATAGAACTCCAATTTTTGTTGCGCTTCTAATCTTTTCTCATCCAATGCCTCTAACTCTGCTAGGCGAAGTTGAGCATTCTCTTCATACGTGAGTCCTTCTTGGATTGCGATCTGCAATGGTGGAATTTGTTGCTCCAACGGAAGGACTGCTTCCACGCCATATACCAAAGAGTAAGGAGTTGCTTGTGTAGCAGTTCTGAAGGTTGTCTCGGTATGCCCACAAAGCTTCACCAATTTTCTCATGCTAGTCTCTCTTGTTATTTTCAACAACTTTCTTCAAAAGGTTACCAAGTGTCTTGTTAAAAGCTTCGGCAAGGCCGTTGGTGGGTGCATTATAAATTGAAGACTTATGTTGTTTGAAACCGAACTTCTTGCACAGACTCTTCACGAGCTTGTTGTCAAATGGCGTTCCATTTTCAGTGATTATGCATCTGGGTATGTCGTACCTAAAAATTATATATGACTTGATTAAATCAACAACGGTTTCCTTTTTCACCTCCCTGAGTGGAACAACTTCAGCCCATTTAGAGAACTAGTCCGTAGCATCCAATATGTACATCTGTCCCTTTGATGATTTTGGAAGTGGTCCAATAACATCAAGTCCCCATGCATCAAAAAGCCATAAAGCTACAGTTGGGTGAATAGGCTCTAGAGGTTGGTGGATGTAGTTGGCATGAAATTGACACACTTGACATCTTTTTGCATGATCCATGCAATCCTTCACCATTGTCGCCCAGTAGTAGCCCATCCTCTTGATGCGAAAATGGAGCTTGGGACCAGATTGGTGTGCTTCACATGAGCCAGAATGTGCTTCCTCCATCGCTTGGCGGGCTTCTTCTTTGTCAAGACATCACAAGAATAATCCTTCAAAAGAGCGGCGAAACAATATCCCCTTATAGAAGATGAATCGTGGTGCTCTTTATTTGATGTCTATTCTTTGTCGCGGATCTTCAGATAACTTTCCATGTTCAAGGTACTCTATTAGTGGTTGCCTCAAATATTCTTCTTCAATCACTTGAACAGACGTATGATGGCTTTTGTTGATTTGAAGATCCAGAAGTCTAGGAATAACCCATCGATGACACACATATACCTTTGTTGACGCATTCTCTCCAAGTGCCATTGTCGTGGCCAAGTTAGCCAAAGCATCAGCCTTGCGATTTTCTTCTCTTGGGACGTGGTTTAAGAACACTTGGTTAAATTTTTCAAGTAAACCGGAAGCGTATTGATGGTATGGCAATAGATCTTCCTTCTTTACGTCGTAACTTCCCAAAAGTTGGTTGATGATCAGTTAGAGTCACCGCAGATCTCCAACTGTAGAATCTTCATTTCTAATGCCATTTCGAGACCGAGGATCAAAGGTTGGTACTTTGCGGCATTGTTGGAGCATGTTTTACCTAAAACAAAGGAGAATGGCAAGACTTGTCTTTCTGGAGAGATCAACACAACACCTGCCCTCGCACAATCATTACGACGTGCAAATCCATCAAAGAACATTGTCCATGGTGGAAACTCTTTGATGAACAAAACGTCTTCATCTGGAAACTCATCCGAAAGCTCCCATTCCGCCAGAAGAGGGTGATCAGCCAGAAAATTGGCTAGTGCTTGTCCTTTCACAGCTTTTTGAGGTGTGTATGTGATCTCATATTGGTTAAACAATATGGACCATCTTGCTAGGCGTCCAGAAAGAACAGGTCGAGTCATCACGAACTTCAGGGGATTTGCTCTAGAGATGAGTTTGATGGTGTATGCTTCAAAATAATGCCTTAGCTTCTTTATCACATAAAGTAACGCTAAGCATATTTTCTCAACAGGCGTATAGTTCATCTCAGCTCCTATCAGAGTTCCGCTAAGGTAGTACAAGGATTCTTCCTTTCCTTCCTCATTCTCTTGAGCAAGTAGTGCTCCAAGTGAACGTTCCTGTGCCACGATGTAGAGTATCAATGGCTTTCCAAGCATTGGTGCCCCTAGCACAGGTGGATTCAATAAGTATTTTTTGATGCTTTCAAAAGCATTTTGACATGACTGATCCCATTCCTCAATAGATGATTGAAGGGTTGACACCGTCCGGCTAGATTAGAGGTGAACCTCCAGATGAATGCTAAGTTTCCTTGGAGACTTCGAAGCTCTCTCAAGTTCTTTGGCTTGGGCACTTTCTAAATGGCGTCAATCTTTGCAGGATCAACTTCAATTCCACGATGACACACAATGAAGCCAAGAAACTTTCCTGAGGTAACTCCAAATGCACACTTGAGTGGATTCATCTTCAGGTCGAATTTTATTAACCTTTTAAAAACAATTCGAAGGTCTTCAAGGTGGTAACGCCTACTTTTCGGCTTCACCACCAAGTCATCGACGTAGCATTCAACCCTCTTGTGAAGCATGTCGACAAAGATGTTTTGCATCGCACGTTGGTAGGTGGCACCGAATTCTTCAGACCGAAGGGCATCACTTTGTAGCAATATATCCCTTTTGGAGTTCGGAAAGTAGTACACTCTTCATCTTTTGGAGACATTCTGATTTAATTGTATCCGGACGACCCGTCCATGAATGACATAGCTTCATACCCTGTTGTAGCATCAACTATGAGTTCAATAATTGGTAGCGGAAAGTCATCTTTTGTACATGCCTTGTTTAGGTCTCGAAATTCAACACAAACATGTATTTGACCATTCTTCTTCTTGACAGGTACAATATTTGATATCCATGATGGGTACTTCACCTCTCGAATAAATCCCGCCTCGATGAGCTTGTTGACTTCGACTTCAATTTGTGATACAAGCTCGGGTCGAAACATGCATTGTGACTGCTTCACAGAGTGTGCTCCACTTTTGATCCCTAAATGATGAACAACTACCTTAGGACTAAGACCAGGCATTTCTTTATACGACCAAGCGAAGACATCTTTGTACTCGGTCAACAACTTGGAGTATTCCTCCTCCTCTTGAGGCGTAAGAAGCACACTAATGAAGGTGAGGCATGGATCTTTCGGAGTACCTAAATTGAGTTTTTTAAGCTCATCCACAGTTCATTGCCCACCATCTTCTAGTTGAGGGGGAGCCTCATATACTCCATCATCAACGTTAAGGCATGGGCTATCTTCCACAATTATGTGATATGATGTTTCCACAAAGTCTGACTTTTTTCTTTAACTTCCTTGGATGGTCAGCATGGCTTCTGTCACGACCCAATTCCCCGAATCCAATCGTGATGGCGCCTCTCGTGAAGACAAGGCCAGCCAGACCAAAATGGAACACCTCTTTAAGTAGTTAATTATCATAAACATTAATAAACATAATATAAGATCCATAGATTGCGGAATTTAACGATACTAACAACAGAAATCATCTCGACACAGCCCAAACCGAGGTGTCACAATTCATGAGCAACTAAGAAATCTGCTTACAAGTCTACTGAACACTAGATCTGATACAGTAGTTTTAAAAATATGAAAATGATAAGATAAGGGAGGCACGGGGCTGCGAACTCCAACAACTACCTCGTAGTCTCCGAATCACTGCCTGGACTGGGAGAATCAACACTCAGGAGTGGACTCTGCGATGCCTGAATCTGCACACATGGTGCAAGGAGTAATGTGAGTACTCCGACTCAGTGAGTAATAATTATAAATAATGGCTGAAAGTATGAAAACACGTAAAGGCACAAAGCAATTCCATATCAAGCAGTAAAATCACTTAAAGTAGTAAATCAGTGAAGAAATCAAATGATATTCCTTTTTAAAACAAGTAAAACAGGTAATTTAACAGGTAAATATCAAGTAGAAATCCGCCCCTCGGGCACAGTGCTCAGAACAGTATCAGCCCCTCGGGCTCACTCTCAGCACAGTATCAGCCCCTCGGCTCAGTATCAATCACTCAGAACAGTATCAGCCCCTTGGGCTCACTCTCAGATTATAATGGGTACCGCGCTCATTGTGGTGTGCAGACTCTGGAGGGGCACCTTACGGCCCAAGCGCTATATTAAGCCACCTCGTGGCATCATCACTCGGCACTCGGCCTTACATCACTCGGCACTCAGCCTCACATCACTCAAGCCACCTTGTGGCATATAAAGTATCTCAGGCCCTCGGCCTCGTATCACTCAGCATATCCTCACATATGGCTCTCGGCCTCACTCAGTCCAAAAATCATCACAAGCCCCTTGGGCATTAGTAAAACAGTAGTTCTTAGCCCAAAACTTGATGTAGAAATATCATTTAAGTTTCAAATCTGAGTAAAAGTGGCTGAGTTTGTAACAGTAGATATCAACAGGACTGAGTCCAAATAATAAGTCAAGTAGTGAGGAAACAATGATAAAAATCCCCGAAGGATTCAAATAGTTGGCACGAAGCCCAAATATGGCAATCAGCCCAAATCATGATAATAACAAATGAATTTCAGTCAAATACGCGGTAAAATCATCAATCAGGACGGACCAAGTTACAATCCCCAGTAGTAAAATACCCCACGTTCATCATCCAACGCGTATCTTGCCTCAATATAGCACTACAATGTGCAATCCAGGGTTTCAAATCCTCAGGACATCATTTACAACCATTACTCACCTCGAACCGTCTAATTCTCTAGCTCGCGACGCCTTTGCCCCTCGAATTGGCCTCCACGCACGTCGAATCTATCCAAAATCAGAACGAATACGTCACAATATGCCAAGGGAACAAAGCCCAAGCGAAAACATTCGAAAATATCAAAAATCCTGAAATTAGCAAAACCCGAGCCCCGGGCCCACGTTTCGGAATCGGGTAAAATTTACATTTTCAGAATCCTCATACCCTCACGAGTCTAGCCATACCAAAATTATCCAATTCCGATACCATTTGGTCCTTCAAATCTTCATTTTACATTTTTGAATGGTTTCACAATTTTCTTCCCAAATTCCATCCCAAATCACGAATTAAATGATGAATTTAGTGATAGATTCATATATTCTAGCCAAATCTGAGTTATAATCACTTACCCCGATTAATTTCTTGAAAACTTTCGAAAAATCGCCAAAATTTGAGCTCTCTAGGTCAAAATATCAAATAAAACCCAAAACCTTGTATTTATAGAGTACCCCTCAGTTTCACCCTCTGCGGGCCGCACAAAACCGACCGCGGTCCGCACAAACCAGTGCAGTCCGCACAAAAACAACTGCGACCGCACAACTTTCCTCTGCAGTGACAGGCTTTAGTATTTTGGCCATAACGTTTGCTACAAATGTCCAAATTACAATATCTATACCTTTCTGGAAACTAGCCGCGAAGGGCTACAACCTTCGTGTTTGAATCATCTCAAAATTCCTTGTAGATCAAAAGATATGAGCTTCCGAAGTTGGACCAACGACCTGCGGATCTTCATGACCGCGGACCGCGGACCATTTTCCGCGCCTAGCACTAAACCACCGCGCCCAGCACTAAAACTTCTGCCCCCATCCATTTTCTAAGTTCAGGAATGTCCGGACTCGCTCAAAACTCACCCGAAACACACCCGAGGCCCTCAAACCTCAACCCAAACATACCAACACCTCCCATAACATCATTAACACCTTGTCGAGCTTTCGAATCACTCAAAACAACATCAAAACAACAAATCAACTTCGGATTCAAGCTTAAGAACTTAGAAATTTTAAATTCCACAAACAACGCCGAAACCTATCAAATCAGGTCCGATTGATCCCAAATTTTGCACACAAGTCATAAATGACATAATGGAGCTATTCCAACTTCTTGAGTCGGATTCTGATCTCGATATCAAAAAGTCAATCCCTCAGTCAAATTTCCAAACTTTGGCTTCTCATTTTCGCCATTTCAAGCCTAATTAA